TTAACAGGGCTAATAACAGTGGTGGGATTCAAGTAATTTAACAACCGGTTCTCTGCCCTAATGATTTCTTCCAACAACCAGTTTGCCAAACTGCTCAGAAAGTTAACAACCGGTTCTCCCGAAATGGTGTGAACTGGCTGAATCCCACCACTGGCTAATAATATGGAATTTTAAATACTTGTCTTGAGTAGCTGCCCATCCAGAATTCCATATTTCTGAGCAGTTTCTGCAGTGTTAACAACGGCTAGCTGGGGATAACTGGGGATATACCATTTCCCCCCCAGTAGTGACATAGGAGGCATCTGCATAATTTTCTGTGCAATCAAACAATATATTTTATTTGTGAGTACTTGTGTGCATGCAGGCAAATATAAGGGAACTCAAGTGGTGACCTGCATTGCTTCAGCCTGGGTCATAAGATGAAATGGTTATTGGCTTACAATGGAGTACTTAGCAAAATGTTGAGCTCTGACCCAATAAAGATATATTGGTATTTTTTTTTTCAAAATTCCTCTGTTCCCCTGCATTCAGTTTGAGCCAGACCAGGGGTGGGTAACTATGGCTCAGGAATTCTAAGAGCTGAAATCTGCAGGTTGTAAGATCATAGCTGCCCCCCTCTGATGCAGTCCACTTTGAAATTTAATCTTTCATTTCAGTCTGTTCCTGATTCAGAGAATTATTATGTTGATGGACAGATAAATGAATGCTCAGAGTCCTGACCCTTTTATATAATTTATTTTCAACAATCTGTTGGCTTGGGGAAAAAACCATTAATTTGCTGGGTGGCAAAAGGCAAAGTATGCCATTTTCTAAAATGCAAACAGCAAAGCCTGGTTGGTTACATATTTAGTCTTCACTTCTCAGCTTTTATTAATCTATTTTTTTCAACTACTATGAAAAGAGCAATAAGCTTGCTAAGCATTTGTTTTGTTGTCTTCACTGTCATAAGCCAAATGCAAGAATGCTATAACTTAAACCAATCTGTTCTAGAATCCGTCCTCAGGAATACAGAAGCAAATCACGTTCAAGATATGGCTAAGATGTCATCTCAGACAAATTTATCCTAATCTAAATATGTTGGCAAAGCATTTCAGCCGGTTTTAAACTATTCTCAGCCGGTAAGCACTTTCTGAAACAATTGATTAAAATTCTTCAGTCATTGAGGTTGTTTTTTTTTTCTTTTTCAAATAACCTTTTTAAAGTTGCATTTCAAAAGGAGTATCGAAGAAAACAAATCATAACATCAATTTTTTTTGTCCTGTTAGAAATGCATGCAAGTTTCTGTCAACCAAATCTTGTTATCTTTTGCTAAGCTTGTGTTATTAACTTTCAGAAATTCAATAAGAGAAACAGTCGTAACCCTTCTCTATGGAGTTAATGCAAACAAACAATGTGATCATTACTCATCTTACTATAGGTCAAATCACAAGTATGATTTCCATCAAGACTTAATTTGCTTGTTTCATTTTCAACACCAATCTGGAAATATTGGTAGAAGTAATAACAAAATGTGACCAGGAAAAAAGAAAAAAAAAAACTATAGATTGCCAGCTGGATCAGGAAAAAAAAACCACATTTCAATATTTCCTTTCTACACTAGAAATGGTGAGAATCAGGTGTCTGCAATTTCTGTAGGGAGAGAAAGAGTTGGTTTCAAGTCTCTGACATCCTTTATGTATAACCGCTTCTCAAGGATCCTTTCTAGAAATTAAAGTTTCCCCACACTTCCAGCAAACCCTGGTTTGTTTCCTCAGTCTACTAGCGACATAATGAAACAATGATTCCTTGCTTTCTTGCAAGTTCTGCTCAAAGAGACTGATGCATATTAAATATTTTGTGTATAATTAGTATGTTGTGTATAATTAAAACAAACTCCCTTATCCAGGGCAACATTTGCTGCTGCAGTTGGAAAGATGACAGTTGGAGAAGATGCTCTGCTGATTCAACATCTGGATTCAACAGTTCAGCCATACCAAGATGCAATAGAAACATGACAAGGTTGAACGCAATAGGGGCAGAGGAACATGTCGTTAGAGAGGGAAGAAATATTGATTTTGTCTGAATCCGTATGCAAACATGCTGAGGTTTTTGATGCTATGTAAGAACTAGGATGCACTTTATTTTACAGAGAGTCATTTGCAAAAAGTATGCATGCTAGAAAAAGCACAGCACCCCCTTCCCCTCCTCTCCATCCGACTTATAGCACAGAAATATCCACAATATTTTGTGTCAATATTTTTCATGTTGGGTCTCCCTCTGCCCTCCCCAAACAAACTGATACAGAAATAGAGGGCAAGGAATAACTCTATTACGGGGGGGAAATAATCTGACCAAAACTGAGGTCAACAGATTTGTTCATTTCCATATGTTACAAATGTCAGGTATTCATTGCAAAATTCAGGCTTAAATTCACTGCAATATAATTATGTATGTATGTATGTATGTATGTATGTATGTATGTATGTTTATATATCGAACTTCTCAACTGCCCATCTCCCTCATAGAGGGCTCTAAACATTCAACAGGAGCTATGGTGAAGAGGCTGCATATGAGTAAAAATATTGTCCCTCCAAATCAAAGCCAGTTATGGGTCCCGCAATTGGTTATAACAACATGGTAAAAGGAAGAATCACAGAAATGTTATCTGTCAATGTTAAAGCATGTTGAAGGAGAAGCATCTACCGTTATTATCTATATTTTTCTAGGAAGTAAGTATTTGGTATTTGGGTAACTAGTACAAGAATATTAAGCACATACACATGAACAAACCACAGCTGATTGGGAGGATTATTAACAATTATGATATTGTTTTTCTCAAGTTTTAAATTACCGTAGAACTACCCATTTGATACTATGGAAATTCTTGTAGAAAGGGTAGAGTTATGGCACCATAACAAATATTGAACACATGAAGCTCATAGTTTGACTGAAAGCTGCTTTACTTAATTTCAATTTCAATTTTTATTGAAAATGCCCATTAATATGTTCAGGCTGTAACAGGAGTCTCTTTTATGAGATATGGGAATTCAAAGCACATAAAATCAAGTGTAACCAACATGCTAAGAGGAAACTGCCCCTTTCTGAAATGCTGCTAGAGGGGCATCTGAATTGAAGGAAGGGAGATGCCAACTTATTCACTCATATCAAGGCCTAAATGTGGTTAAATGCACCTCAAACTTTCTTTTCCATTTCTCAAACTTGCAAGGTTTCTGACATAAACTTCTGTTTGGAATAGTTTATACAGCAGTTTGTAATAAACTGGGTAGTCCATGATAGGTTTTTGAATAAATAAAAAAAAAACCCAGTCTAGATTTATTTATCTGTTCATCCGTCCATCCATTCATCCATCCATCCATCCATCCATCTTCTATTGCTGCCCTTCTCAGTCCATGACTCTGGGTGGCTTACAGTTCAAAATAGAACAATCTGAGCTGTGAAATATCTTAGTGTCTTAAGAAGATCTTTTAAACGCTCTTCACAGTAAGAACAGCTCTCAAGTTTTTTAAATGTTATCTACAATGAAAATACCAAGAGCTGAAAATTCCTCACTCCTCCTCAACTCTTCCATTATCAGACCATCTACAGCTAATTTGTACAACAGGAGGTCAAAAATTAGAGCTGAGCAATAGAGCAGAAATGATCACTTGGAAAAGGAGTAAAGACACATGTTCTTTTTTTTTTATATATTGCCTCTTCATCTCTGATGGAGAACAAAATGGATTAAAGAGCTAGAATGTCCACATTCATTGAGCTTGTTGAATAGGAGTCTTCCTCTCATTCTTAAAAAAGGTCACTCTTTTCTACAACTAATGAAAAAAATGCAGTAATAGCCAGTGTTTGTGAGAAATGTGTCCCCAATAGTTACTAAAGGAAATAAGGCTACTTGGAGATGTGTACAGGAAACAAGTGTCTTGAAGATCCTGTCCATGTAAAAATCAGGCTAAAGCATTGAAGAGGTGAGAAGGAAAGTGTTAACTCTACATACTGTAAGAACCTGGACTACAGATCTTCCAGTTCCTTCCTAAATGCCTTCCATTGCCTCTACAATTCATACAAGCAGATACTCTTTGTATCCTCAAAGAGGCAACACAGTTCTGCTCAATTTCTGCAATATTGTGATTTGCCCAGTTCTATGTTCTATATTCTCAAGTACAGAATTACCAATAAGGCAAACAATCCTAGAAGTATGTCTGTCTGTCTGTGTGTTTGTATAAACGCATAGATCTCCAGAATGTCTTCTTATTGAAGTTATTGCTTCTTTCCTACGAAAATGTGCAGTGGATACGCACAATGACATTTAATATACCAGGAAAGGAAAATAAAACTGACCGTGTTTTAGATTATTGTTTTTCCTTTGTTGTTTGTTTCTGAACAATTGACCCACACTTTCTGACATTTGTGTTTGTCAAGCATGTGTTTGTTTCTGTCTGAATTACTTAGTAGAGTGCATGACATATAGATGAGAAATCCTGCAAAGGACTCCTAATAGCAATAGCAATAGCACTTAGACTTACATACCACTTCATAATGCTTTACAGTCCTCTCTAAGCGGTTTACAGAATCAGCCTATCAACCCCCAACAATCTGGGTTCTCATTTTACCGACCTCAGAAGGATGGAAGGCTGAGTCAACCTTGAGCCACTCAGAATTGAACTCCTGGAGTGAGTAGTGAGTTAGCCCTGCAGTGCTGCATTCTAACCACTGCACAGTAACAATATATACAGCATATGGTCCATTCCACTGTGCCCATGTGTGGGCTTTCTCTCACACATGCACACACACACACACACACTCCCATACAGGCATCCCTTACAGAGTTAGTATGTGTTTGCAAACAGAGCGCTAAACGGAGCAGGTGAGGCAATAATGCAGGGTAGGAGTGGAAAACAAGCATTACCATTTTGCAAAAGAGTGGCATCATTCTGGTGATTGCTGGAAAGTCATATGGGATGTGCAAGGTGCTAAGTCTCACTCAACATGCAATGGTGGTTGAAACTTACACACAGATGTCTTCTGGTTCATGTCTTTACTTGGCATCAATTTCACTCCCCGGGACTTAATCTCCATTTGCTTTTTGACTGGAAAGGAAATGAAAGAGAAGAAGATTCAACAAAAGAGAAGCTTTAAGGAAAGAAGGCATTTCACTTGATCAGTTAATTCTAAGGCTATTTGGAAAGCCGAATTATGTTTCCAGAAGAAACAAAGCGCTGGGAGACTTTTCTTGTTCTTATTTGCAAGAAAGAAAAATATTCTTTTAAAAGTGTATTTGTTCAATTTCTATGGCCATCCATCTCAGTCAATGACTTGCCAATTACTTAACAAGACAGTTCGTGGATTGACCACTTTTCCATTTCTCCAAACAATGCCAACAAATCACTTTGATACAAATCAACCATGAAAGTTCCCCATTAAACACAAAAGGGTGCAGGGTGAAATGCTATAATGGATATACCATTTCGGAACGTATAACATATTTTAATATTAAAAATTCAAGCACAACATTGAATATGAAATACCCTGTTTTCCCAAAAATAAGACATCCCCTGATAATAAGCCCAATCGGGCTTTTGAGTGCATGCGCTAAAATAAGCCTCCCCCAAAAAATAAGCCCTCCCCAAAAATGCAGGTGCAGCTGGGCCCCACCATTTCCTCTGGTTAGGGTTAGGGAGGCAGAGCTGAAAATCAGGTAAGACAGCAAGAGGAGCCCCATCTTGCTCCACACCCCCCAAAATAATAAGACCTCCCCGAAAATAAGGCCAAGGGCTTATTTTAGGGTTCAAAAAATATAAGACAGGGTCTTATTTTTGGAAAAACATGATACTGAATATTAAAAATTCAAGCACAACAAATTATTTTACTCTCACACACATGCATCAACATACAAACCAAAGGAAAATACATTTCCAATAGTTTTCTTTTACCATTGACATCATGGTGCCCCTCATTTGCCTAAACACATACAATCCAGGGGTGAAATCTACTTACCTTCCTTACCAGTTCGGAAACACATGTGCCGCATGCATCATATGTGCACACAGTCCTTCTGTGCATGCACAAAACCTTCTGCGCATGTGCAAAAAGTAAAAAACACATTATTTCCTGGTTAAAACCAGGAAGTAATGACACCCAGGCGGGTGGGCGGAGCTTTGCTCCGCCATCGCTACCGGATCGCCGAACCAACGGCCAAGGTCGCTACTGGACCGGGCAATCCAGTCCAATCCGGGAGCATTTCACCACTGATGCAATCCTCCACAAATTAAGATACAGAAAATCTTGAGATCTGATCAATGAAACATAAGAAGCTACTGACACTAATATTAGCTATGATGAGACTGTGACATTCTCATTTCATTCGCAGTGGGTTCTTTGAGCGAGCTTGATCAAATATTATGAAATTTAGCAATCTTAAGAATAAGAGCTAATTAGGGGAAAGTAATAAAAAAAAGTGGATCACAAAATAGAAGCTAAGGACTGAAATGGCTACCAACTCTGGCTTGGAAATGTGACTTGAGTAGAAAGTGGAAGGATCATGAATAATCACTCCTCAAATACTTATAACTTCAACCTCTATTGTTTGCTTTTGAAATGTCAAACATTTGTCTTTCTTAAGAAGAAGTAAAGCCTTTAAAATAATCAGAAGTCTTTAAAAAAATAACAATAAGACATTTGTTCTTAATCCCTTATATCCTCTGGTACTTCCAGTCCTCGGAAACTTATATTTTATAGCAAACACTTAAATATTATGTCTGTGGGGGGAAAAAAAGGCTGTTTACCAAAAATCACTGGATTACAAACCTCTGACATTTGCCTTAATCAGAGAGGAAATTACAGCAAAAATCTTTACTTCACATCATTTTTTAAAACTTTTTTTTTTAAGGCATGATTCAAGCAGGTGTATTTTTAATAGCACAGCAGTAATCATGACTGATTTCCCTCTCCTTTTATTTTTAATTCAGCAACATCCTATCTACAACGCAATGCTCAACTGGAAGATTATGACTCAATAGCTGAACATATTAAATGTGAAAGATGATTCATAAAGTTCCTAACTCAATTGGTTTTACTATTATGAGAGGAGAGCATTGACTGAATTAATACATATCTGTATTTAACAGGATAAAATAACATTGGGGGTCCCGCAAAATGTCATTTTGGGCAATAACCACACTCGTCCTTGTAAGAGGCATCCCAAGAGCTGCCTTCCGTAGAATGGGAAGGACATATAAAAGGTAGTATGGATAAAACCTAACTTTCATTTAGTTATATATTCTTAATATGTTTCTCTGGGCTTTGGAGTGGGGTGTTTGTGCAAAAGAGCCTTTTGGTACCCCAAGAGACTTTTAGGGGAGAGTGTGCCCATTGTCCTAGCTTGTGCAAACAGTGGGATCCTTTCCAAGTATGATTCAGATTTTGAAGTAAGCCAGGAGCATCAGCAGGATCTTGGTGCTTTCATCAGAAAGATAGAAGCATCATTATGGCATTGTGCCATAAGCTCTGCCCATTATCAGCATGCATGCAAAATTGGGACACATGTACAAAGTGGTGAACCTCGTGTTATGAGGCTGCAATGCTGTTTTCATCAGTCTGATGTTAGTCATTACCTTCATCCATAGATGAGGCTGGAGCCACATTTTTCCTTCAAACTAATTTAGAAAATCAGCTACATACATACATACATACATACATACATACATACATAAATACATACATACATACATACATACAGTACATAGATACATACGGGGGGCAGGAATTATTTCAGAATTTTAGACTTCCTAACACACTGCTGTTTATTGAACCATGCACTTTAATGGCCAAAAAAGTAATAGATGGGGGGAAAAAAAGGATTGACACAGGATATAATGATAATGAGGAATTTCAAATCATACACTCTAAAGATAGGAAAGGACCTTTGAGATCATCTAACACAGCATGGATGACAAAAGCCTTTTTATAATCAATGAAGTAGATATTGATTTATTTTTGGAATTCTTCATCTTTTTTAATTATACAACATACATCATCACTTGTTGTCTGTATGTACACTGAGAGCTTATGCACAAGAGACAAATTCCTTGTGTATCCAATCACACTTGGTCAATAAAAAATTCCATTCCATTCCGTTCCATTCCATCTTGTTCCTCAGCCTTTTTTGAAACCACCTTGAAGTCCATCTTTCCATGTTGGACTCTAATTTGCATTGGATGACCTAAGCATTAGTTTGTTAGCAGGTAAAAATAATGGTATTGTACAATAATTCAAACCCTCTATTAAGCTTCTTTTCTTTGCTACTGGTGTTTGACATCTGTTGGCTCCTGTATCTTTTATTTTCTCCCAGAATGCCAGTATTATTTATTCTCTGACACAGAACTGGAAGTAAGTAAACTTGATGCAATTATATACTGGCTGTATCAAAATTTCTTACGCGTGCATAAATGTCAAACTGAATTAATCTCTTTTCAAGAATGCCGTAGTAAAACACAGCGTAGGAGGAATCCTGGTATGGAATTAGAAATAGGCTACTGAAAAAAGTGTATTGGTTGAGTATTTTAAAGGAAACCAACAAAATTTGCAATATCCAAACTAATGGATTGGGATATGATTGTCATTTTTTTTAGCTGCACATTTCTCCGAGTTTTGAAATGCAGTTTTTATTCCAAAAATTACATATATAACGCGAATATTAGGAAGGATGTGTACAAATGAGTATTATTTATATCCCATCTCTCAATTGTATGAGGGGAAAAGCGCAAGCAAGTTTTCTATATTATTAAGCCACCAACCACATCCACTGAGTGAGAATGCAGCTGCTGGAATAGTAATTTCTCATGCTGACATTTGCACAGTTTGTCCCAATATTTTAGTCAATGCACACGAGAAACATAGAGAAGGAAAATAAATAAAATAGAAAATTGCCATCTACGTCTGCAACCCATTTTAGGAATTATGGTAGTTGGAACAATTTTGAATGGGGCAGTGTTAGAGGCTAGTCAGGATCCTGCAACTCACCCTGATATTGTGCGTTGAAACCCTTCTGTCTGTGGTTCCCATCGGACATAAAATGAAGACGAAGCCAGTTTTTGCTGCTGATCACAGGAGCAGGAAGGTTTGTTCCTGTAAACCTGCAAAAAGAATGAAAAAAAAGAGAAGCTAACAGAAATAGCCACAGACATTCTTTTTTTAAAAGAGTCTCCTTTATGAAGATGAATAAGGAACTCCTCCTGCAACCACATGTTTCTTTTCTTTTTTTAAAAAAAATATATATTATTTTTTCTTTAAAAACAAAAACAAAAGAAAAGTTTCCATTTTACAACAGTTCCGTATTGGTGTATATCCAGAGTTTGTTTTTCTCCTACCCTACATATTCACATATTTATTTTTGTTGTTCCCTTATTCCTTATATATTATATATACTACTCCTTACTTATTATACATGCTATTATATCTATATGTTACTTTACATACATTGTATATTTAATATCATTTTATTGATGCTTCCTGATTTCTAGATCATCTCTATTATATATTTTCTTGTTTGTTATTCCTGTCCTCTAACCAGTGGTGAAATCCATTTTTTTTTACTACCGGTTCTGTGGGTGTGGCTTGATGGGCGTGGCTTGGTGGGCATAGCAGGGGAAGGATACTGCAAAATCTCCATTCCCACCCCACTCCTGGGAGAAGGATACTGCAAAATCTCCATTCCCATCCCACTCTGGGGCCAGCCAGAGGTGGTATTTGCCAGTTCTCCGAACTATTCAAAATTTCCGCTACTAGTTCTTTGAACTGCTCAAAATTTCTGCTACTGGTTCTCCAGAACCTGTCAGAACCTGCTGGATTTCACCCCTGCCTCTAACCATTTGTACAATTTTTCCCATATTAAGTAATATTCCGTTTCATCTTTTTCTTTTATTTGTTTCGTCAATTTATCCATCTCCGCACAGTCCAAAATTTTCCTTATCACCTCTTCGTCTTTTGGTACAACATTATTTTTCCAATTTTGTGCATAGGTTATCCTAGTTGCAATTATAATATGTAGAATTAGATATTGTATTTCTTTGTTATAATTTTTTGTGGGTATGCCCAATAAAAATAGTTCCAGTTTTGAATCTATTTGTTGTTCAGTTATCTCTTCAAGCCACTTTTTAATTTTGGTCCAGTACTTTTTTGCTGTCACACAAGTCCAGCATAGATGATAATATGTCCCGTATGATTTCTTACATTTCCAACAAATCGGTGATGAGTTTGGGAACATTTTAGCAAGTCTCATTGGCGGAAGCAACCACATGTTTCAAATGTCCTCAAGATGCAAATAAAACTGCAGCCCCTTATTTACCCACCTAGAAATCTTGTGATACAAGTATAGACTTACAGCATAAAAGAAACAAAAATTTAAATCCAATGGTGATTTTTTATGCAGATCTAATTTCTGCCACCAGATTAGTGCTCCATCAAGTGAAATTGCCTCCCCACTTCAAAGGCACAGAAATTAAACTGTTTATACTTCTCTGTCGCTACAGATAATTAGAACGCTGCCCTGCTATCTTGTCATATCACCAAAGGACATTCTGGAAAGAAATGATGGTTGGCAACAGCAAAGGGAGAAATAAAAGCATGTGTAATGCTTCTCAAAATGTCCACAGTGATCTCTCTTCTTTTCAAAACTATCTAGAATGGATGGTACAGTATATCCTGCTCAGATGAACTACGAGCTTTTGTAAGCAAAACTTTACCATTAGAGAGAGAGAGAGAAAGAGAGGGAGAGAGGGAGGGAGAGAGAGAGGTGTGTTCCTTTGAGTCAGCCTTGACTGCTGGCAATTGCCTGCAGAAATGCTTGCAGTTCTTTTGGCAAGATTTTATTATGGTTTGCCATTACCTGCTTCCTAGGGCTGAGAAAGAGTGACTGGCCAAGGATCATCTAGCTGGGTTGGGCCTAAGGCAGGATAGAACTCAGGATCTCCTGGTATCTAGCTTGTTGTTTTTACCACTATGTCAAAATGGCTCTCTATTCAGTTAACATTAGAAACATTAAATGCCTTAACTTTAGTAGTGTTGGACACTTTAACTTTAAAAGAGATGCCAGAAAAATGTTAATGGTGTTTCCATCATTTATACTTCCTACTTTAATTTTCAATAGCAGTTATCCATCCTTTCTACAAGGTTTATCTAAGGAAGGAGTTTGCCATTCTTTCTAGGAATCAAAAACAGTCAATAACTCAGAAAACTGGAGAGCAAACAATTCTGTAAAGCTGTTCTTATTTTATCACCACCTTAGTAAATATTTACAGAATTGAAGCTAATTAATCACCACAGCCCACTATTTTCCTGCAAAAAATACTGAATACATAGACAATTCTGTTTTGATGTGCATAAATATGGGTGTCATATAACAAGAACAGGAAAAAAACCATTACACAAATAAAGAAATAATTTTGTCTATGGGGATTCTCAGTCATCCAGGTCATGAATGTCCCAAAGATGCTTTTTTAATAGGCAACAGGCCTTTATTATTCCTTGAAAATGTTCAGAACTGAAGAAGCTTCTTGCTTGAGATGTAAAATGTTTTCAAGGAAATCAAAGTCCAGTTGCCTTGAAAAAGCATCTTTGGGACAATCTACAATTTTAAAATACTTGAAACTTCTACAGTAGTCAAAGTCTATGGGGGAAAAAAAAATATTACCACCAAAGTGTTGTCAGCTTTCAAATCAAGAAATGGCTTCCGTAGTAAAAAATCCTTATTACTTTTTCAAGAAGCATGTTCAATTCTGACCTACATCTAAACCATTATAAGCATTTACATGTATAATGTGGGAAGAAATTCAGGCCACAAATGCCAGAATGAACTGCTCAAGAGCACTATTGCTTTTAAAGATAGTTACTCTGAGAAAAGATAACACATTTTTTCTTGAGCAAGTGTGCAAATAAAAAAACAATCTAATAAAATCTTATCAGAGAGGCCATAAAAACTCAGCCAAACATTTGTCATGGATCAATTTGGGAGCTCTGAAATGGCAATGGGAATTTCTAAGCACTGTACAGTATTAACTCCCTATTTATGAATCCAATTAAATAAGAAGCTCTTCTATTAACATATGTGATACTATTCTTTTTCAAAAATTAAATTTCCGGGAATAATTGGAGATGGGAGTTAACAATAAAAAGAAAATGTCTTGGACAAATCATTATGGATTCGATCTGAAACAAATGTTTACCTAATATTCACAGACATCCTTGAAAAGGGGGATATATGAGAGCAAAATTAATGGCCTTAACTAGAGCACTTGAAACAACATTAACATGATAAGAGCTATTATAGAATCCAATTACTTTTAACCAAAGTCCATTTCAGACATTTTATTAGAGACAGAGTCACATTAGTTATCTGCTATTTGCCTTCTGAGAACAGTTCTATTTTGTAAGAATAGAATTAAAAAGGAGGTGTATGCAAAGACGATAATGATGGAAAGAAATGTCCTAGACATTTGAATAGAATGTAATAATTCTATTGCTATTATTGTTACTATTGTAAGCATCATGATGGTCTTTGTTAGATTTATATTGTGTGGAATTTTTCAAGACCACAAGGTGGTTAAATACCCTTTTATTCCACAACACTCCTGTGAAGGAAGCTGAGAGGAATGGGCCCAAACGGAAACAAAATGAAATAATTTTGTTGCAGTCCTTAACCAGTTACAAGGGAATGAGCATTCAAATATACAAAAAGCTAAATTAATACTAGCAAGATAATTAGGAAAGGTAGACACAGATGAAGAATTTTTGTCAAAAAATTATTGTCAAAAGACAATATTAAACTATGCTAAGGGGTTTGGTCAGGCTACACATATGCAACAGAGGAGAAAAGAATTTAAAACCTAGATAATACAAACTTTGAAACAGTAACATAAAATATAGATACAGAACATACATGTATAGGTTGGTACATACGTAATTAGGTAGATGATAGAATAGGTAGATAGATAGATAGTGTTCTGTCCCCATCTCCACACACACACAAACACAGCCAGCCGAGGGTTAAGAAAGCATTTGGCACGCACACAGGTCGTTATCTAAAACTTGGCAACAAAACAAGCACCGTCTGCCAAGAGCTTTACTTCAACAGATAACATAAAATACATACGCATTGTAAATAGTCCAGCTCAAACAATATCCCTTCGGCTGATTTACACGTTGTTCAAGTGACTAGCCAGAGTTAGTTTTTGTTCGTCACAGAGTTTTCAACGGCCACCACACTCTCTTATATAGTCTCTGGGGTGTGGTCCAGTGACTCAGTTATAATCCCTGACACGCCTCCTTAACTGCTGCAACCGTTTATCACGCCTTCGTTGGCGTGGATCCAGGAACGACAGATCACCTCCCTCGCTCTCATCGGAGACACCTGGCTCCTGGCTAATCTCCTCTTCCTCGGCCGGCACTTGAGGCAGTGCCAGAGGGGAGGGGCCTGGAGAGGGAGGCCTGGCCGACTCCTCTTCTTCATGTTCGGAGCCTTCTCCCTCCGATGAGGTAGGCTCGGAGGGCGAGGCCACAACAGATAGATAGATAGATAGATAGATAGATAGATAGATAGATAGATAGATGATAGATAGATAGATAGATAGATAGATAGATAGATAGATAGATAGATCAATCATATGCATACTGATAGATAAAACGATCAATGGTAAATATGATGGGTAACAGTCAATTTCACCAATGAGACATCATTTAAAACCTGGGCCTCTGAATCCTTGTCTAATACCTGAACCACTATACCATACTAGATAGCTGGCTCACTCTCTATTTCTCATGTCTCCTTATTTAGACATTCATGATGGTTAGATTAGCATTAAAGGAACTAATGAATAGATAGCAATGAAACATTAAATGCCAGGACATGCACTCTGCACACATATATGTATAACCTTCAGCCCTTTCCCTCTGCAGACTGAAGAAAAAGAAACAAAGTCAAAAAGAAAACAAAATGCATAATTTCCCGGTGTGTTTGAGGATTTTCAGTATGGAGCAACACAACCTCACCTTTTGCTAAGGGATATTTTACTGCTCTTGGTTTGGGTGATCGTTGTTTCAACTAGATTAAAATAAGGTATCATTTCCAAAATTTCAGAGT